TCCACACTAAAACCGGGTTTTAGTGTGGACGATAAGCCAAAACGTATCAAAAAGTATGCTTTTACAAATGAAAACGATTTAGTGCGGACAGCTGAAACAAAACGTCGAAAATATTTTGGTTCGTTTGGTTTGAGACGAAAACGGGTAATTAAAAAAAAATACAACTGTTCCTATTTATGATGGTTTGATAGCATCAAAACACAGTTTTATACAGAAACATCGAGCGAGTGTCCATAACACAAGCGTTTGACTGGGGTGGGTTAGGGTGGGGTGGGAGTGGACTGGAGTGGGGTGGGGTGGGGTGGGAGGAAATAACCAAACAGTGCAGTACCATGTTGGCGGGCATCAAACAAGAAATCAACACAGCTGAGATGGTCTGCCACCTACTTGAAACTTGAATAATCTTCAGCAAATGGCTGCTGCTCAGACAGCGCACGAAAACCGCTTAACAGCACATCCTTGAAGCCACTAAAAATGAAAATGTAGCTTAAAATTTGCAGTATTTCGGAATGGAATGGAATGGAAGCTTTTTGTTCAACACGATAAGTTTTAAAGCTAAAAGCTTGTGGGGTCGTGCATAAAATAAAAGAAAGACCTAATAACAATGTAATAATAAGTAAAAATTTAAAAACTACTGACCTTATAAGAACCTGATCTATATTTACAATATTTACACGTCATAAAACGTTCGAATGGGCTCTTACCAGGTTTAAAATTTTAGCGCGCAAGTCACAACCAATCAGAGAGCCCGTCATCAGCATGGAATTTTTCGGGTCCAGTCTCAATCGTCTTTCGAGCGACGTAAGAGATTGAACGCGTGAAATGAAGTCTGTCAGTTCTGTGAAGTTTGCAGGAAGAGTAACACAAAATGACTCGTGGACAAAGACTGGTTTCAAGGTTATCTTTTAAGCAAGTTGTAATAAAGGAAGTTTTCATAAGCGCATTTATTTTAATTCAACACTCACCTAAATTGTTGGCTTTGCTTCGACGAACGAAGAGACAAGAACAACGAGCCACAAAAGGAGAGAAAAACCACGGCAAAAACTACCATGAATCTTGTCAAGTCTTTTCTAATAATCTTGGCCAAGGTTTTTGTGTATAATCCTGTGGTCCTACAAATACAGAAAAACATTGATTAGATAAAAGAAGCTT